CTCCACTTGTGGCATCTGGCGGAGGCCGATAGACTCCATCCCCTCAGAATCCAGCAGAGAGCTCCCCGCGATGGGGTGTTTCTCGCTGTAAGGTTTTGCTTTCCACGTCACCGCTATCTCATCGAGTAGCTCTGGGAAAACAGGCAACACATGCTTCTTTTTTCGCATGTTTTTTCGCCTTCAGCAATTTCTTACCGTCAAAACGAGATTTTACAACGTCTGTATGGTGGGCCATGGGATGTTGAGTATAGCAGCTGCACGCTTGCACATGTCCTGCATGTCGAGATCCAGGGGAGACAGCGGTGTCGGTTTTTCAACCTCGCCGGTAGCCAAGGGCTTTGCAACCTAGCTGATGCTAGCCAAGAAGGTGGAATCTTCCTCCTCGTTGACAGACTGCAGGAGCTCCGAGTCAGCCGACTCATCCCCGTCCTCGTTAGCATCTCCTCCCCAGGTGACTCCAGCATGGGGGAAAAACTCACATTCTCCGTGTGCCTCCAGTGATGGGAAAGCGGTCGCGATGGGCTGAGGGTCTGCCTCTGCCCAGCTTGGCCCTGGCGTTGTGGTCAAATCATTGGGCATCTCAATTTCTCCTTGCACCGCAGCAGCCTCACACAGCAAAGGGTCGCCACCCAACTGGTTAGCCTGGCAAACTAGCCTGGCAAGCTAGCCTGCGGCGGAGTAGTTTGCGTGGGAAAGCCGCGCAGTGGATACAGTTGTGTGCGGGTGTCAAGGCAGCCTGAGCGTGAGATAAGCCTAGGCATGCTGCGCACAAGGGGTGTTTATCCCCGGCAGAAATTTTCTTGCCGCAAGGACAAAGTTTTGCAACTTCGTTGTCAGTCATAGCCATGGTTAGCTAGAGGGTTGCGCATGTTAGCGAGACCGACACTGAGTGTGGAGAATATTCCTATTGCTCAGCTAGCGTGGGGTGAAAAGTAGTGCTACTTTACTACAGGTATTGCTACCTAATGTGTAAAACCACTAGCGCTGAAGGGTATTGCTACCTGACGGTGAAGCTAGTGGTACCTTTATTAGCAAAGTGTTGCTACTTCGCTTTGGGAAAATATTGCTACTTCCCAGGGTGAAAGTATTGCTACTTGACACCAGCACTAGCTACAGAACAGCATTACTACTGCTTGTATGCTAGTGGACAACTGAAATGCTGGGAACAAAGCGCCCAGTGACCAAGTTGTTCACTCGAATCTGTGGACAGTTTAGCTCAGCACCCAATAGCACAGTTGTCTTACAGGCTTCTGTGAGAAGCGAGAAGAGGTTTTTCAATGACATCTGACGCCATGTCACTTAGCCAGCCTGTAAGGTAATGGACACCTAATAAAAAGTGGCTTCTTTTTTTCAATTAGAGGACTTTGGCTCGAGTTGATTGAAGGACTAAAGTAGGTGGATAGGGGCAACACACTGAAGGGCAGCTTCAGGACTGAGGACACTGTCATGATGTTGTAGATGTATGAAGACTACAGAACCAGAAACACAGGATTCATTTGCTACATGTTAAGCTAAGTTGCTCAATAACAAATGAACTGCATCCATGAGAGGTTTTACACTGAACAGACTGAATAGCCTGGTTCCTGCAGCAGCATTTAAAAACGTTACCTCACCACCACCATGTTGTTGTTGGAGCTATAACCAGAGGGTGGACTGCTAGACTAAGGCTAAGGCTACATACAAACAGAAATCCGTACTAATCAGTACTAAGTAACAGATGAAATTGAATTTAAGGGACTTTACAAAACCCCAAGAAGTGTTTCAGCTTTATTCCTAATCAGAGGCTGTAGTGCACTAGAAAAACCTCTTCTTCCAACGTGGGCAGCAATATTATGCCAAACCTTAACTGTAGACATCAAAATAAAATTATTTCTGACACCAAGAGGAAGGTCATCCAGATCAATAGATAAAAGACTAAGAGGCGAAAGAGGGTCACAGCACCAGGTATCTATGGGAGGTTTGCCTTGGTGTAAAAAGGAAGATAACCACCCTGAGGTTATTTGTGAAGCCCAGTAATAATATAGAAGATTAGGAACTCTCTGTCTTCTATGTTTAGACTTTTTCTAAGTTGCTACACAATGAAGAAAGGTCAAAGTGAGATAAGAAGCTTTGAATTTAAAATCAACTACCTAAACAGTGTATGTAGGTGTAAATCGTAAGAAACTGAATAACCTGGAAACAGTCGCAGCCAGCAAAACAGTCGGCTATTTTTAATCCTCATCTTTGGATTCGGCACATAAAAAAGCCACAAGAAATAACAGAACTCAGAGCTGTGATGTAAAAGACGGCCTGTTTCAGCAAGTCTGTCTGTACAAGCGTCCACACCTCTAATTTTATATCATACTAAAATTATTGACTTATAAAGACAAATCCAACATTTATTTTAAAAGGGAGAAATTGGCTATAAACAACAACACAGCCAAACAAATGCACAAATGTTCGTTGTGATTAGAGCGATGATAGAGGGATTATATGGGCACTATTCGTTTTGGCATATTTGTGTTAGCTGCTTTTCTCAGGCCTGAGCTTGTTAACCAGTAAATCATACGACAACCTATTTTGACACGATACAACAGTTACACCAGCCACATGTAGTTTAGCAAATGATTAGACTTCATTTAATTCCTGTTAAACGATGTTTAAAAAAAATTAGGTTTGCATGATTACATTTTGCTCCAGCAGTGCGTTTGAGGGAAATAAAGAGATGTGTCTTAGTTAATTTGTGGTCGCTGTAGCTCAGGAGGAGGAGCAGGTCACCTACTGATCAGAAGGTTCGTGGTTCGAGCCCTGGCTTCTCCACTCTGCATGCCAAGTATCCTTGGGCAAGATACTAACCCCAAGTTGCTTTCTGATGCATCCATCAGAGTTTGCATGTAGTTAGAAAGCACTAAGTATAGAGAAAGTGAATGTGGCATGTTGTATAGAGCACTTTGAGTACTCTGGGAGAGTAGAGAAGCGCTTTAGAAGAATCAGTCCATTTATCAATGTAAGCAGAAGGTGACATTATTAGAAAAACAATAAACATTTTTATATATCTGTTACAGTTTGGCTTGCTTCTTTGTTGCCAGCCTTAGCAACACTGATGGTAGAAACAAAGTTCGTCACTGTCCTCTTGGTTACAAATGAGAGAAGATACCTCTGTCATTACAGGAAAGTCCCTGAAGGCAGGAGGCACTGTGGCTTTGCCGGAGATCATGGATATGACAATAAGATCAACAGCATGCAGGTACTGTTTACAAGATTCACTTTGTATTCACAATACCAGCTCAGCTTTCTAAAACATCAGCTAGGTACAACGTACACGCACTGTACACATGGTTACACACTGTAACCGGTATTAACCTCCTAGGACCTGCGTCCACATATGTGGACATCACATTTTGGGTTATTTAGACCAAAATACTAAATTTTGCTCTACAAGGGCCTGATATCCACTTACGAGGACATTATACTGCTACTGTTCTATTGAAATTTTAAACGAATATCCTCTTATGTGGCTCTCGTTTTTCTTAGAAACAAAAATCAGGTAAAAAAAAAAAAATCTGGTGATTCTTTGTTTTTACATTCCTTGGGTCCCAATGTGTCCAAATATCAAAAGAAATTAAAAATGTATGCTGTGGAAGAGTTCGGGTCTTAGGAGGTTAAAGCTCAGACTGTCTAAACATTCAATTTCAATTCAATATTTATAAATATTGTTATATGGTAAAGACCCTGCAATAATACAGAGAAAATGACCCCCTATGAGCAAGTTGTTGCTTAGGCAACAGTGGGAAGAAAAAACGCCCCTTTAACAGGATATGAGGGGAGGAAGACAGGAGAAAGACTTCCTGTGGAAGAGAGCCGCAGATTGATAATAAGTAATAATTACGTGCAGAGAGGTGTGTAAACACAAAGTGAGTGAAGAAGGTGACTGAAGAAGAAATGCATCATGGGAATCCCCCAACAGCACAGGCCTAACGCAGTGTAAATAAGTGAGGATTGAGGGGCACCTGATCCAACCCTGACTACAACTAACTGCTAATTAGCCTAATTACCAACAACTGAGAAGGTGTCTGAATCCAAGCTGGGAGCAAACAAACAAAAAGACAGTATGTGCACATTTCATAAACATTACAGGAACTTCAATCGTCTTCTTAAATACATGAAATGTAAGAAGGAATAATAATAAGTAGAAGACAGGGAACTAATTTAATTTATAAAAAACAATTAAATATTCTTGGGATTAAAGTCATGAGGAAGATTTTGGAGGAAAAGCCCAGAGATTCTTCCCACAATATAAGGAAACTGTCTTTATTTATTTATTTAGTTATTTATTTATTAAATGCATGAAAATGTAGAATAGCCTTTTTTTAAACTCTCGTTAAAAACATCAGATACATCAAACATTTTCTTGCATTCGTTGTAACAAACTAACCCGTGTGATGAACTTTTGCTTTCAGACTATTTTCGTTGGCTATGGGCCGACGTTTAAGTTCAAGACGAAAGTTCCAGCCTTTGAAAACATCGAGCTTTATAACGTAATGTGTGGTGAGAATTCACTTTTTTTCCTTCTGCATTTCTGTGTTCAGGTGTCTCGTGTGTTTTGATATCTGATATTTTTCCACAATAAGAATGCGTTAGCTGATGTTTACGTGAGTGTGACGTCTTCAGTCTGATTTCAGTCACATTTGTCCCATTCTTAGATCTTCTAGGTTTGAAACCGGCCCCTAATAATGGAACTCACGGCAGTCTGAACCACCTGCTACGAACCCCCCCGTACAGACCCACCATGCCAGAGGAGGTGTCCAGGCCAACAGCGTCTGGTGTTGTACCTGCAGGAACAGACAGCTTGGGGTGCAGCTGCGACGAAAAGGTCAGCCACGATGACTCAGACCTGAGCCCAACTTCCTGTCAGTCCCTAAAGGGAATTCTGTTCTTCTATTTTTCTAAACCCCTTATATTCTATTTTTTTGTCTTTTTTTTAATTTCTCAACTCAATCATATGTTCAGCAGATGCAGCAACCTTCTTGGCTCTACATCCATATTGTCACACTAGCTTCTGTTGCTCAATTTGGTGCTTGTATGAATTGCAGTCTCAGTTTCTGAGACTCACAGGAGTAGCACCCCACAGTCTGGGCATGCTCCTCTGTCATCAGCACGCCATGTTCACTAAAGATGGTTGTCCAGGAAAATCCCATGAGATCAGCAGTTTTTGAAGTGACCTCAGCGCCTCTTTTTAAAACTCCCTCTTCTTTACTTTTGGCCTAAAAGAGTTGACTCTAAAATTGTTTCCATAGGCCAAATTAGACCCTCACAAAGTATGACTAACCTGCATGTATGACTGGCCAGATGCCAAACATTCGCTTGACTTTTAAATCCCACAAAAGGATCCATCTGGTCAACTTATTTACTTAATTAATTTTTATTTATAAGGTGCCATATGACAGCAGCAGTCCCCAAGGTGCTTTATATTTTAGGCTAAAAACCCTACTATAAACCTTTCTATCCAAAAGTAGTGTCAGTGATAGGGTTTGGAGAGGGTGTGGGTTTGTGGGGGGACCAGACGCATATTTTTTGGGACTGTGTTTACATACAACAGTACTGGATGGATGTCAAGAACATTATACATAACATATTGTCAGTCAACCTCCCAATGGATCCTCTGATC